AGATGCGCTGCTCCGACTTGAAAGGTTCTTTCGATTATGGGCAAGACAAGGAAATTCTCGATCTTCTCTTCATTTTACTCGTTAGCAGGAGCAAGTTCCTCAAGCTTGGTAGCTGCTTAAAAAAAAGAGGCTTTGAATTACGGATCCCTAATAAATCAAATCCTACCCTTATTGACCTAGTTCATTGGCATAAGGTCACAATTGGGGATGGAATCGTGTTTCACAAAGAAAAAACTCTCTTTTGAAGGAACCATCTTTGTGTTTCATTTTCAAAAAAAAAGATGTGTTTAGTTGGATTTGACTTTAAATAGGAAACGAGAAGACCCAAAAGTTGAAAGATCGTACACGTGAGCTTGATCGGATAGACCGATCTTAAGATCCATGGATTGAATTAATTGATCAATCCAAAAAAGGATCCTCCAAATCACAGGTATAATCTGGATGTAAGAAATTTTGGTGACTTCAAAGAATTTAGAGATGACACCAGAGAAAGGGTTAGTCGGGGGCCAATGAGAAAGGATACTCAGGGAAACAGACCCAAGTGGGAGAGACAAAATCTGGTAGGACCTTAACATCAAAAACACTTGAAGATGGTATTAGCCGGAAAAACTCCATTTTCCCTCAAGGACCCAATGTCATCATCGCTAAAAGAACTAGTCTCCTCATTGGCAAGGATTTTCTTATCAACAAAATCCTCCCCAAAGGGAGCCATGATAGTTTCTCGAGAACAGAGAATCTTCTTACCCATGATAAACAAGAAACGGGAAATTAAGAAAAATTGAAGCGAGAAGATTTACCTTGGGATGACTGATAATGCTTGAGAGGTAAGCTAGAAGAAGTAAAGAAGGGTCAAGAACCTTTATGCCTTATTTATCCGGGGTTACAGACGAGAGAGAAGTGATTTGACAGATAATCATGCCTAAGTAAACGAATAGAATTCTATATGTTAGACTTTTAAATTCAAATTCTTTATCTCAATTTAATTAAAATATACTCTTTAAATATTCGAAATTAATTCCAATATTTTGCAGGTATAATTTGCGGGCAATTGTTAGGGGTCGAGATCCTGAGACATTCCCAGGACTCCGAATCTTAAAGTATAACCAAGATCCTAAAGCAAATACACTAAAGATCCTGAATATTATTAATATTACTTCCTAACAGAATTATCGAATATATATTTCTTTTTTATTCTTCACATGTGCAGAAATAGTCAACAAACGACTCATCAACCCTGAAGAATCATTTCAATCAAGCTTAAGACCCGGAGATGCCAAGTCAAAGCAACGTGCAAATACATGTTTAACTGGATCATGGGAATATCGTACTTCTAGATATCCAACCTAGACTATAAATACACATATGTAAATCACACTACGACACAACTTAGACTCACTGAATCATTTGTACTCGTACTCTCAATCTTACTTCTATAATTTTTTCCAATTAATAAAATCACACAAGGCGTGTGATCATTATCACCTCCCAAGGTTTTATGCCAGAGATCCTAACTAGGATGAATGGATTTCCTTGTAAATCACTCGAGTCATTTTGATCTCAATTCCATATTCATATTAGTCATAACACCACAGTCTTTCATACAATTTGGTTGATATCTCTTAGATCGATTTTTGACCAAAACAAAAACTATTTTTAACAAAAACTCAATTTTAAACGTTTTAAAACACTTAAATAAAAGCTCATTTATAAACATCTTATGTTATTTTTTAAATATTTGTTTTTCAAACTCCAACTGATTTTATTTTATAATAAAAAGTTATTTAACATGTAAAAACCATTTTAATACATAAAACATAACATTTTACAACAAAAAATAAACAACACAAGCATGCATCCTAAATGTGTATAAACCAAACCATAAACTAATAATAATTTTTGTGAGCCAACACAATAATTATTACGTCGATCCTAAGGACTTATGGGATACTTTAAAAAGATATTCAAGCTCCCACTTGCCAAGACAACTCTTGTTTGAAAAAAAAAAGGACTTCAAGGCTCCATGTGTGTGATGTCACTTAAACCATTAAGACTACAATTAACTCCAAAACCAAGAGCAGAAGCTCAAAGTTGGGATTATAGTCTCAAGTTGTTAAGACATGGTAAATCTTCAAATGTGATAGTCATTTCTTCAACTCGTTACATTTGGGAAAAAAAAAGAATACAACTAGTCTAACTAATTCGTTATATACAAAATAAAAAAATAAAAAATACATATTTATCTATTACATATTATGAATAAATAAATAATCAATCAACACAACACAATGGTCTTAACGGCTTATTTATTCACAAAAACATCATATGAAATATACCAACAAATACTTTATTTTTCAAAGACAACTTTATACAACCAAATGCATAAAAAGATTGGTTGCATAAAAAACAACAATTATAAAAACAACAAGTTTCCATAGAAAATATATTTAGTCATTTCTTTGCCAAAAGAAATATCAAGCATATTTTCCAAAACCAAAGGTTATCAAATACTTAAATAAATCTTTCCAATTACATGAACTAGGAAGATAATAACAACACAAGGATTTTAAGAAGACACCATTTGAAGCCTTTGATCCCACTTGGAATTGGAGAGTTGATAAGATAACAAAAGAATAAGAAGCTTGAACTTCTCTACAAGTATCCACCATCAAGAGTAAGACACTTTAGAATGCTAGTTCCTTTTTATATTTTTGACTTCTTAAGCCTTTAAGCGCTTAACACAATTAAGCACTAAACGAGAAGCACTTCTACACCACTTTAACTTGCAACTAGCTTCAAAAAGAAAAGGAAGGAAGAGGGAGAGAGGAGGCTAAAACTTCTTCACATGAGGAAGGGAAAAACTAGCCAAAAATGAAGACAAACACTCTCTTATATACTAAAATATAGGATCTAATACCTATGCATTCCTTTAATGCAAAAGTAAGGTGCTTGTAAAAGGTAAGGTGTGTAAGAGAAAGGTTGGCAAGCAACCTCCATTACCTTTGACTAGTTTCGGCCATAAAGAGAGAAACAAGAAAGAGAAGTAACTAGTTTAAAAAGCTAGATGTAATTAAGTAATTAGTAAAGTTACGTAGAAACCAAAGTGTCCAAAAAACTTGTACATGACTTATTAAAACATACTATATGATATAATAACTAGTTAATACTCTATTGAATAATTATTTTCACAAAATAATATTTATCTCCTAATTAAAAACAAGAGTTGATTATATTTATCAATAATCATATTGATAAATATTTAATATGTTCCCATAAATAGTGAGGATCATAAACAAATAGATTGAAGTGATTCGAGCCCATATGAAAGTTGCTCAGGACTGAGAAAAAAGTATGTACATATGAAGAAAGGAAAAATCGAGATGAAGGTCGGTGACTTGGTGGTGTTAAAAATATCACCATGGAAGGGGCTGATGAGATTTGACAAGAAGGGTAAACTTAGTTCGAGGTATATTGGATTGTTTAACATATTGAAAAAGATTAGATCACAAGCATTCAAGGGGATTGATCAAGAGCACCAAGTGAAGACAAGAAGTCAAACTAATAGTTAGTTTTCACTAACTATTAACGTGAGTTATATGGAGTTTTCTTAAGGATATATGGCTTAAGTGATTAAGAAGTATGCTTAAAGATACTCTTTATAAAAGTAATGTTTATGATTATGTGAAAATGAAAAAATGATCAGAGTGTGATATAAATTCAAACTAAATGTAATAAGGAGTAAACCTTAATTATGAGAATTATTTATACTATGCATGTTGATCTTGCTAGTAGTGATTGTAAAGTGAATGTTAGTGTTTGGACTTTAGTGATATCCCGAAGTGAATAAGGGACAACTCTGCCAAGATCAAGTATTTATTCGCGATGTAGATGTCGAGGGACACCTTAATTGATTTATTTGTTCTTATTATTATGGTAAAGTTGATAGGTTGTCACTTCTATGACGATTCCCTAATGTGTTAATCGATACATAACCAAATTATTATATCTTAATAGGAGTTGGTGATATGAGGAAGGCCTGTAAAGTTTAACCGTGTTATAATTTGATAATATATTGTGTTTGAATTGTATAGCTCGTTAGACAATGTTGTCTAACATATATTTTATTTATTGTCATGTACCTAGGAATCGGGTGCAAAGAATTAGCAAATGAGAGAATTAGCAGCAAACATTGATGTGACTCGACATATATGTCATTTTCGTAAGGGAAATCTCCAAAAATGTTTCAATATTTTTGGGTCAGTTTACGGTTTATTCTCAACATTTACTTTTTTAAACAAAAACATCATGATTATCTAATTTTATACGATAATCTGTCATTTTATGTTAAAATAAAATAATGACTGTTTCGTTAATTTAGGCAAAATATAAAATAATCGGGACTTTTCTGTTCAAAAAATAAAAATTACGATTTAATCGTAAACTGATCCAAAATATTGAGACTTTATCGGAGATTTCCGTTTTCGTAAATGTAATTGTTGTTTTACTATGATTTCTATGCTATTAAATGGTTATAGAGAACTTTGATCATTAGTACTATAGCGATTAATAAGGTTTTATTTAACCAAGAAATACATATTTTTTATAAAAATGTAAAAGAGTTAAGTAAAAAAAGTTGAGATTTTTTATAAATTATGCTAAAATAAAGTGATTTTTTTATATAGATAAACGAATAAAAACTGGTTTAATAATATATAAATATTAAAGTATTTCAACCGGTATTTTATACTTTTATGTAAACAAAATTAAGTTCGAAATTCTTCATAAATAAGTTTGAAAAAAATTGTTTACTAGAATATTGAGATCTTATTGCATATTTCTCATATATCAACTACCATGACTTGAAGTTACCATACTACCCCAACCGTATTGCTACTTTATATATATATAGTAACCCTCCATTTCAGCCAACCTCAACTCCACCGCTTCCACCAAATTTCAGAATCAAAATTCAATTCCATCAGTCATTCAATCTCTGGTGCACAATGGTTGTTTCTGTCACAACCGTCGACGCACCACCACCTCCACAACCACAGTTCACTTGCTCCGACAACAACCATAAGCTATCCAAAAAAGGAAGCATCTCCAAAAGCCGTTCGTCATCCTCAACTTCCAGCCACCGCCGGTGTACCTTCACCAGAAAATGTGCTCGACTCGTCAAAGAACAAAGAGCCCGATTCTACATCATGCGAAGGTGCGTCAGTATGCTCGTATGTTGGCGTGATTACAGTGATTCCTAAATCACTATCAATAATTTGATCGATCTCTTTCTCTCTCCGAGACTCTCTTACTGTCTCTCTCTCCAACAATTTTCCGATTCCCTCCGAGGAGGAGGTGGAGAAATCATCGATAGATGTAAGATGTACAGTAATTATATATTATAGATTTTTTTTTATTGATGTAAGTTCGAGAATGCTGGTTTTGATTTATGGCATCATTATACAGAAACAGTTAAAGTAATTGCAAATTTTACGAAACAAATATCATTCGTCATTTCGTTGCTTATTTTTCTCAAGCTGATGATTGATTTGCAGTGGTTTTTACTGTGATTTTGGATTTTTTGTTTGTTGGTGATTGTAGCAAACGGTTCTCCTCGAGATCTCTATTTCCCTCGTGCTTTTAGAGAGAGAAAAAGTGTATGTGAGATTGAGAGAGAGAGAGAGATTCCATTAAACTATTGCTGCAGCACAGTATGAATCCAGTAATTTCAGTGTGCTTGGCTGACACATATTTTTTATTGAACTAGTTATGTGTCAAAATTACAACCTCTTTTTGGATTTAATTACAACATATTTTAATTGAAAAGTTATTTAAAAATTATTCGTTTGTATGTTATATGAGGTGCTTTGGATGCTACTTTTGAGTAAATTTGATTTCATTTTTCATTTATAATCTTTTAATATAATAGATGATGAAATGATAGTATTAAAATATATGTAAAGACGAAAAATAAAATATATTATTGATTAAACGTTAAGGTCTGCACACAACGTGGGAATAAATATGATTTAGTTATTTAATATATCAGTTTCTATAACTAAAAATATAATATTTTTAACTGAAAAGATTTTGTACCACAACTAACTATTGTGATTTATCTGTTTTGGTCATATTTTTTTCATAATATTTCATTAAACTTATAATTAATCAGTCGATTAAGTCATTTTCGTTAATTTTAAACGGTTTTCAGTTACCGAAACTACGTGGAAGTGTGATGTGGTGAGGAACCATACGTGGCAGTGGGTCACATCATAGGTCATTCACCCTTTTTATAAGGAAATGTCATTGTATCACAATCAACTCTTGATATTTACTCGATTTGCTCACTAAACTATTTTTTTTTTCATAGTATGTCATTAAATTTACAAGTTACCTGTCAATTAAGTCATTTATGTTAATTTTTAGTAGATCCCCAGTTACCGAGCCTACGTGGTTGGTTGACTTGTAAAGCTATACGGAGTGCATGGGAGGATTGTTACACATAGGATATAGCCACGTCAGCCAAACACCTTTCCACATGATTTCACCAAGGTTAGGAGATAGTATTCATACATACTCACCAGTGGGAAGAGAGAGATACGGCGAGAAGAAGAGTGAGATATAGAGAGAGGGAGGAAAGAGAGATATTGTGGCCTCCCGTAGTTGCACTCACGGACTATCACAATCACAAATATTAAGGGTGGTGTTTGGAGGTAAGTCATGTGTGGCGTGGGGGTACCAAGTCACCTAACGCGTTAAATAGCCAAGCACTCCTTATAGCCTAAGGGACGCTTATTTGGCTATGTACCACCACCCCTAGCTGCACCTACAACCCTATCAATCTAATATTGGTTTCTTTGTTGAAACTATATATTCAAGAATCATTTTAAAATGATGTTTGCCAATAAGATGTATCATATGTGATGGAGATTAGTTCTCATAGTCATAACGAACCTGATAATATTACTATAGATAACAATGTCCTTTTGGATTACACACAAGAGCAAAATAAAGCGGAACTAAATAGATATTTATATTAATGACTTGTTTTGTTAATTAATTAATAACTTAATTAATTGATTAGAAAATAAATGATTTTAGAATATCCCCGAATGATTTGAATAAACAAGATAATTACAAATATATTACTAATTATCTTTAGGGTTTCAAATCACATCCCTATATAAAGAGGGGTCAAAATCCGGTTTTGGGTGATAAGAAAAATACCATTCCACCTCTAAAGTTTGGAACCCTAAGGAAAAACCCAAGAATCGTCGAAGCCTAGTTCCTACGATGTGGTCACCTGCTTGCCACGATGTGGTCCATAGCAGATTCATTTTCGAGTTGTGTTGATGATGGTGTTCGAGGAAGTTTAGGATATGTGAAGGTTTTACGTGTTGGGTGTGATCACAAGAGAGGAACTCTATGTTGGGTTCTTAAGTTCGATCAACTGGCTAGACCAAAGAAATCCAAGAAGAACTCTAAGGTATGATTACTTGTTTTATTTTTATCAAAGTTGCATAGATTTATTTGAGTTAGATCTACATATTTCGAGTCTATATGTCAGAAAAGTTTGTTGCTTCCGCTATCATGATTTAAGTTCTTAAGTTCGATCAACTAGGCTTGTAACCCATCAGTGGTATCATTCGTTGGCTAACTCAATTCTATTTCACTTAGACTTTGTCTTGATCATATGTTAGGGTTTGTATGTGTAGGATTTATGTTTTTAAATCATTCAAAATTGTCTAGAAATTTGCCCTGTTAAAATCAGATATGTTTAATGCTTGAAAAACAACTTTCGGGTCGTTCTGCCTCTTTGCCACGTCGTGGCTTATCCTCCACCACGTCGTGGTTCCTATAGATGTCGAATCTAGATCGCGATTGCTTCATCGCCTAGTGGTAGTCCCTACCTGGACACATCCTGGTAAGCTACTGAAAGCTTAACTAATAATCTTATAAATGTCTTGTGTTTTTCCAGTGCCTCACGACATGGTTGCCCATTCCCCACGTCGTGGAACCTAATGTTCCATAATTATAAAATTTGTTCCTTATTTTTCGATTGCTTTATTCCTTTTTTTATTTTAAAACATACAAACTATCATTTATACTATAAGATAAAGTCAATTTGATTTAATTATAAGATTAGTTAAAAGACAAAGATTAGGACTTTAATAATTTAATAGTTGACTTACAAATGTCTATATAGTCAATAGAATTAAAAGACATATAAATTCCAAATGTGTATATATCGTAAAATCATATTAATATGTATCTCACTAAAATACAACCATTGTGTCCTCGCATGTTTCTTAAATTTGCATTGTCAATCTTACCTCGACTAGGGTTACCTACTTTAAATGTTATAAGGAAGGTTCTAGGAGGTCTCTTCGAATCCTAATGAGATTAGCTTTTAAGTGGCATTTAATGCTCGTCACCCTTACCGTCTTCTTGTGCTCTAAGTAGAGTTACCGATATGGTTTGATAGGATTATTGTCCAAAGTTAAAAGTATGAACTTAATAAGTAATGAAACAAAATCCTGCTTTTTAAAAATATGAATCTTATGCTTCCCATGGAAGTTACCCCTTGTGGTATATTATTTTTGATGTAAACGTGTGTGGTTTACCGGGTCTTCAAGAGAAAAATATAGTCAAAAAAAGGTATATGGTGATAGATATTCTCAAGCATTACTTGAGCTGAATCTCATTGTAACTTCGCATGGTCGATTCACTATTTGGATTCATGATCCTCGACTAATCCAGTCATGATTGCTAAATAAGCATTAGAAGAGATTGACATGGTATTCACATAAATCCATAAATCTCGTTTTCTAGGAATCTCATGGAGATTGAGATCGACAATAGTTTGTCCACCTAAACAACTTCATTGTGTTCGGCTAATCCACTTTACACTGTGAAGCAAAATATGGATCCTAGACTTTTGAATAATAATATTAGGTAATTATATTAAAAGGATTTCTTGATCAAACTAATTGTGTTTCTTTTTCTTAATAGATGGCTCTTGGTTCGAGTGCAAATTTCTCTCCTGCACCAACCATTCATCAAAATTCTCACTACTCCAACTCCTCTCGTGAGATGAACTCACTAGCCTAAATTACCTTGATTGGATTCGTAACCTGAGGATTACTCTGAGGTACGAGAAAAAGGAGTATGTCTTGGACGAGCATCTGGATGAGGAGCTTCTTGACGATGACACTAAAGAAGAGGCGGCTAAACATAAAAAAACATCATTATCACTCTATTGAGATCTCATGTTTGATGTTGGCGACCATGTCTAGAAATCTAAAGGAGTTGTGAGAATCTTGGGACGTACTAAACGAACAATTTAACTCAAAGACATATTTCAAGAGCAAGCTCAAACTGAGAGATTCAAAGTCAAGCAAGAAATTTAGATTGCAAGCAACAGGAGAATGGTTCTGTGAGTGCCCATGTGCTAAAACTAAAATGGTACTTTGACAAAATTGAACGTCTTGGCTTACCTTTCACTCAAAAGTTGGCTATTGATGTCATTCTTAACTCTTTCAATAGTTCACCATGAATTACTATATGAATGGTTCGGAGAAGAGTATCATGGAGCTACATGGGATGCTCAAGACAGCTGAGGAAAGCTTAGTTCCACCTAGGAACTCAAGTTCAACCACTCATGTTTTGGGTATTAGGAAAGGTGGTGTCAAGAGAAAAATGTCTTCTCATCCTATTGTTAAGGGAAAAGGGAAATGGGAAGTTGGTTCTCTTAATTCCAACCCTAAGAAGGACGTTTCTGACATACCGTCGATGAATGACCCTAAAGAAACCATTTGCTACTACTGCCAAGAAAAGGGCATTGGGAACGTAGATGCCCTAAATATATGGAGGATATTAAGAACAACAAATACAAGGGTGATGACTCTTCAAATATGTTTACAACTAAATTACATTCAACTTCGACTTCTAACAATTGGATACTTGACACAGGATGTGGAACTCACATTTGTTCTGATGTGTGGGGACTAAAATGAAATAGGAAGCGGAGACATAAGGAGCTCAATTTGATCATGGGGAAAAAAGAAATGTAGTTGTTACCAAGATCGGAGATTACGAGCTTTCATTGTCACCTAGTATTTCAATTATTTTATTCGATTGTTGTTATTCTCCTTACATGGCAAGAAACAATATTTCATTTTATGCATTGTGGCGTGACAGTTTTACTTTTGGATTTGATAATTATAATTCTAGTATTTTGGTTTACAATGATAATACTCTTTGTTTTAAAACAAAACCTTGTAATGGCATATATGCATGGTATGATTTCTTTATAAATCAAGATGATTCTTATGTTTTCTAGAAAGCTAGTGGGAGTGCAGTAACATTCCTAGTCTTGTATGTGACTGACATACTGACTTTTGGAATAAAGATCTACTTAGATAGATCATAACTACTTAAAAGATTAAGTAGAATTGAATTAACTATGAAGATCTTAAAAGGTTAAAGATATAAGACTCTAAGAGAGTTTATCTTGTCAATACCACATGACATGATTATAAGCATGCCTCAGAATAGATCTAAGAAATGAAAATTAAAGTGGGTGGGTTGATTGCAAAACTCTGCTCTTTCTTGTATTTCGCCGTAATGTTTTCTTGCTAGTGT